AAAAAAAAAAAAAAAAAAAAAATATACCGTCGAATTGAATACCTCCTTCTTTTGGGAAGTCGGTCAAAAATTGTATAAAGATGTCGTTGTTTTTATACTTTTTTATCTGTACCAATAGCTTTTAGTTTATATTTGATCCGTTCGTGCGTAAAAATTGCAAGATTGCCAGTTGAAGAAAACCTTTTTTTATACTGCACTGTCCTGGGATTCAGAATAGTTGCCTCCAGCGGGTAGCCAGGGAGCGGAACACGAGGTATTGAGGCGTAGCAAAATATCGGCCGTGGAAACCTTTCACGTGCTATTGTGCGATTGAAAATGTCAGTGCGACCTCCCGGCGGATACAAAGTACAGTCGACAGCACAAATCATATTTTAATTATCTGTGTTCTTATTCTTGCCTATTTTAAAAATATTTGTTTTTAATGAGAAAGTATCAAGGAGGAACTTTGGATTGTTTAATTAAAAGTGTTTATATCTAAGTGTGGAGTGTAATTTTATTTTGGACAACCAACTAGATTCCATTGGATAATAAGTTCCCTAATCCATTGTATTGAATTTTTCTCGTTTAATTTTAAAACAACTTAAAAACATTATTTGACCCTTACGTTCAATATTTCAGGAGGCAGAATTCCGATAATTGGTATTCATTTTTTATTTATTAGTATGTTTCTGAAGTCTGTACACGGCGCGTTGCTACGCGGGGCCATTGTCAAGGCTGCATGAAGTTAGACAATGCAGTCGTCAGCAGATCAAGTGTAAAAATGTCTGCTTTACGAATGTTACGCTTCACTTGCATTTCATTGTTTTTTTTTTTATTAAAATTACGTTGTTACACGCAAGTGCAATATTTCAAGAATTTACTATACAATCAACACCATCATCACCAGCTCACTATAAGTCCCCACCGAGGGGCTCGGAGCCTACCCTAAATAAGGGTGACTAGGCCATAGTCAACCATGCTGGCCAAATGCGGGTTGGTTGTCTTCACAAATATCTTTGAATTTCTTCGCCGATATGTGCAGGTTTCCTCACGATATTTTCCTTCACCGTAAGAACGTCGGGTAAATTACGTACATATGAAAATTCGAAAAATCGAAAACTACATTGGTACATAGCGGGATTCGAAACCAAGACCTGTAGATTACAAGCCAAGTGCCTCAACCACTGAACCACCAACGCTCTAATATACAAAAAGATTTACAAATTAATGAGACTAGACTTTGCTTGTGACTTGTGAATTTTTAGATTTAATACGATAGTTTTTAAGTTATTCCGTTGCATACATAAATACAAAACTTACAATCATAACCTATAAAAATTTGACAAAACTTTTGATGTATGTTCTCGCTCCATAGTTTTATTTTAATTTAAAAAGTTTCATCAATTGGTTCTATACTAAGGATTGGGGGCATAAGGATGCTTGCAAACCGAAGGCGTCTTTCACCTTGCTCCATTAAGACATGGTTATACCAAGACTACCGCGCCCACTACACGCCTAGCCTTATTTCATTGTAGACATAATAAAGTTCAAATTATTCTTAGAAGCATTGATAATTTACAATGACTTGTCATTTAATTGGATCAGTATAATAATTCTGTTTTTATTGTATGCTAGCTTTCGCCCGCGACTTCGTCCGGGTGGCACTAAAAATCAAAAGTGAGTAGCCTATATGTTCTTCCAGACTATCATTTACGTCTATACCAAATTTCATCGAGATCCGTTCAGCCGTTTAGGCTACAAACTCTAACAAACATCCATCCATCTAAACTTTCGCATTTATAGAACAATATGTTTGTAGAAATGTATGTTTTAATCAGTATTGAAATCTATTCTTACAAAACCATATGTTATCTAGTATTCTATCTCTCTCTCTTCCTCTGTATCCCATATGATGGAATCAGCTCTCTTTGTTTCCACTTCGGTGTATCCTCGAAATGGAATGTTTGACACTCCTATGTCCTTCAGCGCCATCTTGTATTATCTAACGTATTTGTTTCCTCACAGTTTAAACTTGGATGCTTCGAGGTTAAAAAAAATTTATTAATAATCTGTTGGATAAAATAATGGAACTAACTCTAAAACCAAAAAAAACTCACACAAAACACACGCATTGTCAAACTTACAAGATAATAGGTACTTACGATGTCTATTTTTACACACACATGTTTGTTTGTCAATCTGTCAACCTACGCATAGTGGTGCAAGTTTACCAAAGTATGCACTTTATAAATCTTTACCTTAAACGTAGAAAGGATTATGAAAAATAACGTGAATATTTTTACGTCATTCCGTCTTACTAAATATGCAGAAAAACTATTTTTGAACATGCAAAATTTGATAATCTCTGAAACGAAGCACCATCGGTGTATCTGGTGCTCAAAATCTTTGTGAATTTAAAACAATGCAAGCAAAAAACAAACAAATCAATAGTATCACATCAATCGTGCCGCGGCAACAGGCAAAAAGTGTGCAAAACGGCGGCGGTGCCCTCAGACCAGAGGAATGTGGACCCCTTGATAGAATATTTAAATTAGAACATTTGTCATAAAAGATTTCAATCTTTGTTTAGTCAATAAAATGTATATAGAATTGAAAACGAGATTTCAACGAAATACTATAATTCTATTTTTAATAAGCATTACAGTAAATATAATTATCAAGTAAGAAACCTTTGGTACACCTTATTTTAGTAGTGTGTTTTTTTTATTTTTATTTTTTGGAATATTGTATTTGATGATCTGATCCACATTCCTCTGATGAAATAAATTATAATCCGTGCCTGTCAGCTGGTTGAGTCCTTGCGGCACGGACGAGTGGGCGGACCACAGCGAGCGGATCTTATTGAACACCAGGCTATGCCACGCGGCGCTCCTCGCGCCCTCTTCTGGTAACCCTGGAATATCACTCTATCAAGCTAATGTCCTCCAAAGCACGACACGAAATAGCCTCGAAATCTAACAGAAAGATAAAATCAATGTAGAATCAATGAAGCAGAATTTACAAGCGTAGCGAATTAAAGTTGAGCGAAGTTGATTTATTAGGAAACAGCAGCTGCGGCACTGCCTCCGCAGATAAATATCGATGCGGAGTGACGCAATTAATCGAAAATGTAACAGATGTAAAGATAAAGTCCGCAGCCGGCCTGTCTGCGCGGCCAACGTTGCAAAAGTCTATCGAATCCGTGGCTAGGTTAATAAACACACAACCGGTCTTTTACGGAACCCCTACGTACATCCGGTGCGGACGGCGTGGGCGAGTGTCGCCGTCGCAGTCGCCGTGTTGCAACCGCCGCTCTGTTATTTACGAGCTGAGGGATCTTTTACACGCCGCGATCGGATTTGATGCGAATAGGTCAATTAAGGTTGCACAATTACACTCACCAGATAGTGGGACGTGGTTCTCGTGCGAATGTCGCGAGGTGCGTTGGCCGAAGGGGCTTCTAAGGGATTTGGGACTGAGGAAGAATCTCCGCCTGGTGTGGGGCGGTGTGGGACAGGTCTGTGTGAGACTGGAAGGTTGTTTTGGGGGTCTAGGTAAGCGTAGTGGGGATGGAGAGTCGTGATCGCGTGGCCGTTGCGGCGAGGGCGTGCAGCGCTCCATGCCGGGCCGCCGGTTTTGATTGTTGCGGGCGCAGATGGGGCACGCTTCGTTCCTGAACATGCACGAGTAGCAGCGCTCATGCCCGCACGTGTCGATAAGCTTTCTCTTTTTACCCTTGTCAAAGGGCATGTTACAACTGGGACAGGATGTGCCACCGGTTTCGTTTTCGAGCAGTTGTCGTAATGCAGCCAGATCTGGAACAATACATTTTTATTAAATTATCTTCAATAAATTACATTACAAAAAAAGAAAATCTAAATAAATCTGTAGTTACTTCAGAGAAAGATCCTAGATACAATTTAGAAACATAAAAACATCACAATGAATAGAAAAGTAGAGGATGCGATCTTTACGACGTCAAATAACTCTCTAGAGTCTTTTAATGGACGAAGACCGGTAATTATATTATAAAGTAATAATATAACTGAGCAATAGCCGTTGGTAAATTGTGGGATAATTGTAGGAATAGATATTGGTACAAAGATGAACGTATACTTGATATTAAAGATTGAATGTGAACTATAAAATATAAAAGAAATCCTTCGGAACAAACTTTACATTGTAATTTGGTGCATGTTTCAAAATTAACATGAAATAAAAAAATTACTTTTTCACTGTAAAAGTGGCAATAAATCAGTTTTACAGTTCAATGACAGTTATTGATCAATACTTTCCGAATGTCCCACATCGATATTGCAATTAAATTTGTTTTGATTGATTTTTGGAAAAAAATAATTTATTTTCCATTCATTAGTGATCTTTGGGCTTTTTTAATTAAAATCATTAGTAAATAAATTACGTCGCAAGGTACGCGAGAAACTTTTCGTTTTATTTGAAAGAATATGTTTCTGTACATGTCTTTCAGTGAAAACGCATATTAACAGGCTGGTATGACACAATATTTTTTTATAACTTATGCGAAGTTGGGTGATTTCTTTAGTATTATATAATTCTCGTCCTTCTTGTATGATTGATTGTGTTCGTTAAAATTTACAATGAAAGCGCTTTCATTATTTAACCTTTGTAAAAATATTGCTTGTTTCCTACGTTATTGATTGCTGTGAAAACATGTTATTTAATGTAGCGCCGTTTTAAATACATTAATATTAATAAATAAATGTTAATTAAAAAAAGCTTAACTATTTACATTTTGATTATGCGCCACAGATTAAGACTTTTCTTTTTAAAACACTAGCTTTCGACCGCGACTCCGTCCCCGTGAAATTAAAAAATAATATAAAACATAGCCCATGTTACTGACGACGTATCATTTTAATGGTAATTTTTTTTTAAATCGGTCCAGTAGTTTTTGAGTTATTTTATTACAATCAAACAAACAAAGTTTTCCGCTTTATAATATTAGTATGTTTGTTTTTAAAAGGACAGTATTTTTATTTACAATCAGTCTTAAATACTTCTTTGTGAACTAATGCGTTTGTTATACATTTTATACTTTTTAAGGCGTTTTTTTAATACTTTTTTCTTACTCAAAAAAGATTTTTAATCGAACCAATTCTATTTTAGCAATAACATAAAGTGTTATTTAATAAAATTAATTAAAAACCATTTTTCCTTTAAAGTAATAAAATAAATCAAACTTTGCTTCTCCATCTATATTTACTGAATCCCAAAAAAGGGGTAATTTGTTAATGTCGAATGATGACCGTAATTTGGTAGAAAATGTCCGTAAGTACGCAATTAACTAGGCCTCGAGTAAAGAGAGAATTTTATTGAACGATCCGATTACCTCATATAGACGCTTTCTCAATACGACAAATTGCTTGTAGCTTACATTACCAAATATTAAGGAGTAAATATTTATTTAATTTCATACATTCTACTAATTGCCGATACGACGTTCTTACGGTGAAGGAAAACATCGTGATGCAACCTGCACATATCGGCGAAGAAATTCAAAGATATGTGTGAAGTCAACCAACCCGCACTTAGCCAGCGTGGTTGACTATGGCCTAGTCACCCTTACTTAGGGTAGGCTCTGAGCCCCTCGGTGGGGACGTATAGTGAGCTGGTGATGATGATGATGATGATTCTACTAATTAAATGTTCACGCAGTCTTTTAGTGTAGATTTTTCGTAATAAACCTATAGTAACTTAGTTTCCACTTAACGACTAAATCCGGAAGTTAAAATCGTACCTTAGGGTCGTCTCTCTCTCGTTTCATAAAATCGTATCTTAGGGCGAATTTAAAATATTCACTGAAGCATTTCTAAAGTCTCCTATAGACGGTCAGTTTTAACTGTTCATTTAAATTGAAGGTGTGTGGTTTATTCCAACTTCATTACTAGAACGTATTTTAGAAGACAGTAACCAATAAAGTGTGACAGTAAAGTAACTTGAATAGATATTGAAATTGAAGACAAACCAGTAATATAAACATAGAGGGCGTTTCAATCGACTTCTTTTTTCTTTGTAATGTTCAGAGATAAATTAGTTCCACATTTTCCCGCAAAATTACTAGGAATTTTATATATCAAGTTAGGGTAATTTAATAGAAGATATCAGATCACATCAACAGTAAAAAGTTTTACTAGATAAACAAAAAACAAATGCCACAATACAATACTACATTGTAAAAGTAATGCGCAAAATATAGACCGTTATCTCTCTCTTTTCAATTATATACCGAAAGACAGAGAGGAACTGATATCTTAGAATAGACATCTGACAAACGATGAGTCATCTTAAAGCTGCCGGTATTAAAAAAATCAAGTTAACCTATTTTTATTAATGGATAATCAACTCTATGCTCTAAGAATTAAGGACTAACTCTTAATGTTATTTTCTGTAAAAGAATTCATCAATTTCGAAGCTATTAGGTTTCTTGTGGTTGTGGCTAGACGGTATCATTATTGCTTTGTTTTATTATATTTTATTGTTGTTTTATTTTTTTAAATGTTCGTGTTTTGTTTATCGAACTGTAAAATGACCGTTGGAGTTGGAGTCTTTATCGACTCATAAAATTAACAAAGCACATTTAGATGATTGTTTTTATTGAGAACGTTTTGTTTTAATATACTAGATTTTTAACAAAACAGAATGTCCGATTAATTAAACACCAGTTTTAAAAATCTACCAAGGGACTGTTATGACTGATATGGCAGTAACCGAAACAATAAGGATGGTATCTAAGTACCCACGATCCAGTAACTGGCATGCCAGCTACTAGATAGGTAGTAGGCATAAGCCTAGCCTTTTTTTTACGTGGGGAAATGCCTACGCATATTCCGACTCATTGGGACCTAGAGTCGGAATATGTCGGACTTGCACCGACTAAAACCCCACGGTGGTCGCCAATATCGCAAGAAAAAGGGGGGAATGGGATCTCCGTATGGAACACGACCATGTCCCCTTAAGGCATAAGCCTAGCCTACGCCAGTGATTTAACTACTACGACTAAAAAAACAGACGAATTGAGTACCTCCTTTTGGGAAGTCGGTCAGAAATACTCTCGTCTACGTAATTCACTAATCTACTCGACTAGATTGTTGTTCAGACACAATTTATTTACTATATTACTAACTACCTGACTAAACCACTATCTTAGTGCGAACTAGGCGTTAGTTCAAATACACATTGTTAGTGGTTTGTGAATTAGAAATTACTACAAAACTGTTTTACCACAACGACGTTTTGTTTGCTATACCGTTATTGTCACGTGTCATGGGAACTGAAGGAATCACTAGTTTTCACTGACTCAGTCTGCGAGGATTAAAAAAAAAACAAAAGAAAGCAGTATATGTGTTCTTCCAAACTATCATATACATCTATGCCAAAATCGAGATCCGTTCTGTCGATTAGGCGGCAATCTCCAGTAAACATCTACCTAAACTTTTGCATTTATTATATTAGTAAGGTTCTCAAATCATAATAATTACTATTATTATAAATGCGAAAGTATAGATGGATTGATGGATGTCTGTTAGAGTTTGTAGCCAAAACGGCTGAACGGATTTAGATGAAATTTGGTATAGATGTAGAGCTTAGTCTTGAAGAACACATAGGGTACTTTTGTTTTTATTTATTCCATGCGGACGGAGTCGCAGGCGACAGCTAGTTTAGTATCAAAGTAATCGCTTTAGACACATTTTTTTTTATTTCTGCTTAAACATAGCATACGGTATAGTACATGTAATAAGCGACAATTTGATACGCTTTTTGCTTTTCATGACTCTAATAATTTCAGATTAAAAAAGACTGAATTCTACATTACTTATCTATACTATTATAATAAAGCGTAAACACACACTTCTTTGTTGCCTAAGATGTCAGCAATTACAACATATTTTTGAATAATTCTTTCTTTAATAAAAAGCCTTACACTTACGTCACGCTTTAGGCTATACATTTTCACGCCATTAACTTAGGGTGTAAATATTTTGGATAAAAACCCTAATGTGGGAAAGAGACCATAAGTTGCTGCCAACATCAAGGACGCACGGTTGCCATCGTCATGTCATTTTGACATTTGCAATTGATAATTTGACACATGTAAACAATAAAACAAAATTTTCACAATTTCATGCGGATGAAGTCGCACGGGAATAGCTAGTAAATTAATATTTCTAAAGTTGTCTTCTAAACGCTTTACTATTGTCGCACCATTCTTTCGTGTCCGGGGACAATTAATAGTAATAAAATTAATGACAGCTAATTACCTCGTTAGCTGTAACTCTACACCAGGCGTTACTCACTTCCTTTTAACTAATGATCATGACCTCCTGGTATTTAGAGATCCTTGTTTTATTGTAAAGAAGCGACGCAACAATGATACATAATGCTATCTCGTTTTTACTACAGTGAATGAGATAATGATATGATTTTTAAATAACGCCCGTGGATAGTCGTAGAAATAACTCGAAGGTATACTAATCTACAATTCACTTTTGAATACATCACACAAATACATACGTCACCAGACCTTACGATTTCTTTGCCGTTTGAATTTCTTGACCGATATGTTCAAGTTGCATCACGATGTTTCCTTCGTCTTTTGAACGTTGGACAAAAGTACAGTCGGGGAAACTGGCGGTATCAACCTTAAAAGCTATAATCTTTTGAATATTTTAAAACAAGACGCGGAACAAAAATCAATACGGTTAGTGATACACGGATAGTTACCTTTTATTATTATCCCTTCGTTGGCAATCACTGGTGTTTAATTAGTTACTTTTTA